GCTGCTGCATTTTCGATGGAGACGAAGTTGCTTGAGGCCCGTGTCCCTTAATTTAGTATGCACATTAGTGGACCCCAGGTGGCCGAAATTTCCGGAGTCCTCCAATATACAGTGTCTCTCGCAATTATATCATGGTTTTGGGACGCGAAACCAAAAAAATGTTATTTAATATAACGAATAAGGCAAACTCCCAAGTGAAAGCTCAGGAGATGCTGTTCGGGCACTGTGACTATCTCAAGAAATATTTTATCACATCACAAACGAGATACAAGAACGTATCTCTCACCCTAATTCAAATTCAATAGAAAGGACCTTTTATTTAGATGAAATACACCGAAAAACAATAGTGTTTTCAAAATCAAAGCACACAATATCGCTAAAAAGTTTTTGCGCAAGATTTTTGTGGTACCGAGCACTGAAACGAACCCCTCGCATCAACGGAATACAAGCAAACAACCAAAGAAGGGGTGGCGCAAGATAATATAATATTAATTGTTGGGGGTTTAACGTCCCAAAATCATCATATGATTATGAAGGGCTCCGGAAATTTCCCCCACCTGGGGTTCTTTGACCTACACTTAAATTTAGGTTCAGGTCAAAGAATCCTAGGTGGTCGAAACATGGCCTCAAGCATTTCCACCCGCATCGAAATTGTGGTCGCTGGGGCCAGGCTTTGATCCCGCGACCTGAGGGTCAGCAGCCGAGTGCCTTGGCCACTGGACTTTCGTGACAGGTAGGTGGCACGAGAGATCAGGGCAGAACGGTGGGAGGCCATACTGCCTTACCCAGGCTTGAATCGCTGTCGTAAACCAGGATGGCGAACAAGGCTGGCCATGAAATCCCCTCGAATCCATGCTATTAAGAAGCCGCTTACCAGGCGTGAGCGGGTTTTCTCTCGTTTTCGCACTTTCGCTACTTTTCAAAAAAAAAAAAAACGTTGAATTCCTTCTTGACATAATTATTTTCTTTTTAGGCGGAGTTTTCATATTCGAAACCATCAGCAACATGTTTCTCAAGGCATATATTAACCACACTGTGTTCCTTGCGATAAGCCATAGCAGTGGTCGATGAAGCACGCGTCTCGTATTCGGTTGGTGTATTCGCGTCGAATCCTGGTGCCGAAAGGAGCCTGAAGGTTTCCCTCCTGAGTAGAAATGAACACTGGCGTCGCTTCTGGCTACTTGTGAGGTTTTTCTCGAATGCAAAGTCTTAAGACGGATGCTGTGTGTCCCTGCGTCTTTTTTCCTTAACCCTGAGACATCTGAGGCTCCCACTAAAATGCGAGACAATTACAATTTGCGCAATCATTTCTCTTACATTCAATGCACAAGTATCATGAACCCGTACTGGAAGAATTAAGTTCTTCATTGTGGGTAACTTATTATTCGGCAGATGGATAACATTGTGAATGACGCAAAAATACTTCATCGAAACACCAGTTTTGGAAGACACAAGTTCATGATTTTTTTAAGTGGGTTTCGCGAGTCAATGATAACTTTTTCTTGTTCCTCACTCGCCGGGTCAATTAGTGGCCAAAAAGCAAGCTCAGATTGGTCTCAATCACTCATGCCCTAGTGCCAGTGCACGTATAAGGAGGGTAGCGATGCTGGCTTGTTTGTCTGTCATGCTTCTTGAACGTGAACGCAAAAAAGAAAAAAAGCTGAAGAGAAAAAAGTCGTCGCAGTCGTGTGCAAAACTATGCATAAGTCGGCTTGGTGATTGAAATAAATGTTTTTTTTTTTGTTAGCAGTGCCAGTATGTTAGTACTTTCTTCCCTTCGCCTATGTCTTTTTGCGTTCACATCAAAGAATCAACGTGCAACAGAAACAGAGCTGTGTTATAAATCCCGTCAGTAGCCAGACTCCGAAAATGATCCACGCGCTTAAAGGGAAGCTGAAGAGATTTTAGAATTCAATCAAACTTATTGTTTACAAAGGACCAGTTTCATTGTTGACGATGTCATAATTGTTTTTGTTGTTGTAGCCGCAGGACCTCTAGAACAGGTGAAATAAAATCTCGTCTTGCTCCACCCCCGCGAGCACGCTGAAAGTGTGGGCGCGGAAACATAAGTCATCTTCGTTTCCTCTGGCCCGAAGCAAGTGTTCTTTTCTTATCTTATACCATGGCCTCCATGACTAACCCGTGATGTGCCGTTGCCGCAACTGATCGAAGAGGCCACACTTCAGCAGTGCTGCTGTTGCAGACGCCCCGCCACGGTGTTCTAGTGGCTAAGGTACTCGGCTGCTGACCCGTAGGTCGTGGGATCAAATCGCGGCTGTGGCAGCTGCAATTATAATGGAGGCGAAAATGTTGTAGGCCCGTGTACTCATATTTGGGTGCACGCTAAAGAACCCCAGGTGGTCGAAATTTTCGGAGCCCTCCACTACGGCGTCTTTCATAATTATATGGTGGTTTTGGGACGTTAAACCCCACTAATCAATCAATCAATGCTATTTCAGATGAAGTGGCATGTCGAAAATGACGTCACCGTGTTTGCTCGGCTTCTCAAGAAGCCCAGTGGCCACCGCCACTGTTTTTTCACCACAAAGTGCTTTTTGCGTTCACTTTTGAGAACTCTCACATCGCTTTTCTAAGTCAGCAGGGACTAAACTGTTCTTACACGCTCCTAAGTGATTTTTTAAGAAAAGTGCTTCAGCTTCCCTTTCACCTGTCGCACTTGAATCTCACATGTCAAACATTACCCCCATGCACATTTCTGCTGTTTGAAGACATGTGCCGATGGTAAGGTAGTGGACGTGAGGCAGTCACTTGCAACAACAGTCGCTTGCGAGCAGGCATTCTCAAACACTACAATCCTGTCTGAAAAATAGATGCAGGAATTGGCTGATCCTGGAAGCCGGTATGTAGCTGTTCCTGAGTATTACTTTGTCTCGCATATATTTCTTAGTGCAAGGAAAGTGTGTTCAGTTGTATATCAATGCATAGTTCTTTATTATATGTAGCCCCGTCGCGGTGGTGTAGTGGCTAAGGTACTAAGCTGCTGAGCCGCCGGTCGTGGGATCGCATCCCGGCTGCGGCGGCTGCATTTACGATGGAGACGAAAAGGCTGTAGGCCCGTGTTCTCTGATTTGGGTGCACGTTAATGAACCCTAGGTGGTCGAAAGTTTCGGAGTCCTCCACTACAGCGTCTCTCATAATCACATGGTGGTTTCGGGACGTTAAACTCCACATATGAATCTTTATTATATGTATTTTTATTGCACACGATTGTAGCGTTACCCAAAATAAAATGGTAGCATGAAAACAGCGCGGGGTCCTCAGCATTTACTTGAGCTTTGCAGAGTTCTGCGGGACCAACATGCTTGAGAACCCTGCGCCATACAAAACCGGCATCTTATTCAAAAGAGTAAGAAGCCTTACAACAAGCTCTTTCGGTGAGGTGGCTAATTTATGCCCGCAATCAAGAGCTTAGGTGTTCGTCTACAACTCAGTTCAGTGCCGATGATGCTCCTCGGCTTATAATGATGGACGAGTGCCATCCCATCACTGTTCAGCCTCATACACATTACATTTGTGGCCAGTTTGGCGTCATCTACCCAACTGTCCTGAGCGACGTTCGGTGCAGGCAGCCACAACGTGCACAGTAGTTTAAAATGAAGAACAGAAAACCCTCCAAGTGCATCGCATGGCATCAGTGCATTGAAGCCAAACGCCAGAAGGCAAGCTAAGAATTTACAGTGATAGAATGCCGGACAGTCGGCCCAGCACCACAGCAGTGGTGCATGCTGCGCCAACTTCGCACTTCCGACTGCGTATTGAAGTACTAATGTAAAAAAACATACGCTTATTGTATCCTGATTGCAATAACAATGAAGCCTGTTATTCTCAATTTGTCTTACTATGTTCACGTGCTCTGCTGAAAAAGAAACTGTGATTCACAAGGACGTGTTCAGTCTTTTGATATAAAGTTTTGTACATTTGATTTGTTGTGTCCACTGCGGAGGTGCAGCGATTTCGGGGCTCAGTTGTGAACTCGAAGGTCAATGGTTCGGCCCCGGCCGCACAGGTTGCATGTCGATCGAGGTGAAAAGCTGGAGGCCTGTATTTTGCTGGATGTCAGTGCACGTTGACAAACACGAGATGATCGAAGTCTCCTGAGCCCTCATATTGTATGGTGTCCTTCGTAATCATATCATGGTTTCGTGACGTTAAACCCCAAATATCATTATTACATTTTGATTGGTTGTGTCACTTCTCGTATCAATGTATCTCAGGATAGTCATTTGATGATTTTTTGAGTGCTTTAGAGGAAAAGAAAAATGAACGAACAGAAATTTCACAACAGGAAAGAGAAAAATGCTTGTCTTCAACTGATTTTAGTTGAAGTGAGACGTGTCGATGTTTATCACGCAAGCTTTTTATCAAAATACTCATACTCTTTCCGAAGTCAAAAATCACCGAGGTAGTTCACACCCTCGACTCCAAACGCGCCGATATCCACGGTATTCGCAATGAATCCGTGGGATAGTTGACCTTCACTAATTCCTGAAGCCGACAGCAACGGAAAAGGGGGGGGGGTTGATAAATGATAAATTCACACTGCTTCTATCTTGTTGACAATAGCGGCGTATCTGCTTAGAAACCCTGCGAGATACAAGTGGGTACACGTAGTTTCGCGCATGCGTATCAATACCGTTTTCACTTGCTTTAGTGCGACGTGTTGATGTACTTTGCCGTCAGTAAGATCGGTTGAACGTCAGCATCTTCCCGGCTCTGTCTCCTGACGTTTCTTCTTTCTCGAGATCGCTGTAGACGCACCGAGTGTCACGAATCGACCAGCCAGTCCAGCTTCCTGCCGCAGGCCTGATCGTATGAATTTGTTCTAAAAGCGCAAGCACGTTAAAAATCTCGGTTACGAGTGGTAATTTTGCGTTCCAGAGGTAGTATACAAATACTAAACAATTGCTCATAACTGAAGCATTACCTAAATGTTATGTTTCTTTTTCGTTTGTCCTTCTTCCAGTCCGCCAGCATGGCTCCTTTGACGGAAACGATCCTGGAGAGGCATCCGAGCACTACCACAGAAACGGCATCTATGATGGCCAAAACAAACCAAGTGGCACCCCCGAAGAAGTACGAAATTGAGATGGTCTGGTGGAACGTGTTCAAGATCACGCTCATTCATGTCATCGGTATTTACGGCATATACGAAATGTATTACAGCAAGTGGCAGACGCACGTCTTTGGTAAGCATTTGTTCTTACTGAGAAGCTCTTTTGAAAGAAAAGTAGATTCCACCCAAAGCTCGACACTATAACTTGACGCAGTCAGAAAAAATCAGGGGCAGTCGCATTTACTCTCAGTGCTTCCTTTCTTGATTTTTTATAGATGCACTGATTCTACAGATAAAATAATTTCGAAAAGATCAATATCGCATTGATTTGGTTAAGGATTAAAAAACATATTTGGGGGCTACGAAAAAATTAACTACTCTGTCGCTTACAATTTTCAGCGTTGTTATTTGATCAATCAAGAGCATGAGATGAAGATATTGTATGGGTACAGTCTATTTATATCAACCTTAATATGAAGCACAGACAATTTGTCATAACAACACGTTTGCGCATTGCAAAATTATCGTGGGCCTACAGATTACGTGAAAGGCGAAGAGAAGCTTCCACGTGTGGTGTACAAAGTACGCATTAGTGTGTGCAGAAAGAAAGTTTTTTTTCATATTAAAGCCCTAAGGTAACGGTGTCTCATACGCGTGGCGACAAACAAATGAACAACCACTGTAGTTAATTTCAGAGTTTGTCTTTTGCCACTCTTTCTTCTTTATCTCGTAGGTAACATCATCCTCATCTTCTCCGGCATCAGTGTCACGGCCGGAGCGCACAGGCTTTGGTGTCATCGAGCGTACAAGGCGAAGACGCCGCTCAGAATTTTCCTCATGCTGTTCAACTGCGTTGCGGCTCAGGTATGGTGCCAGCTTACTGGTTCGCTAGAAGCTTCGTCTTATGTCGCCCCAGTCAAGGTGAGCTGCGCCCACCACCGAGACAATCTGGTGCACCCGCTCTTAGTTCGTTTGGGCACTTTCAGTTCAAAGTGCGGCCACTTTTCTCCTTCTCTCATGAAACTGCAATAATGCCTATTTTAACACCTGTACCGCCGCTCCTACTTTATATGTCGTGCATTGTACAGACAACCACGCGAATAATGCGCTTTTAAGTGGTGGATGATAACGAGTAGTCACGGAGAATGAAGGATTGGCGCATTCTTTGTTGCAAAGAGTGCGGCTGCTGCCTCGCGAAGCGGAGTATTGCTGTTTCAGGGTTTTCGAATTCCTTTCGTCAATTTAAAAGGAGTAACGAGAAAAAAAATGACACCATGACAAAAGTATTTTGCAGGTAACTTACGAACCTCCTCTAAATGCCTTTTTTTCTAACTTTTTTATCACAGGAATGGCTTAAATGACGAATTCATGCATGTAACACGGTGTATAGGCAGGGGTGTAATTATGAAAGTAGCGCCCTTGTAATACTAACAATGATACTAAAATTGCGGAACATTCAAGAGAGAGCAGGGATTCAAAGAGGGACGGAGGATACGTTGCGATAGTGGCCTCCCTGTCATTGAGGAAAAACGACGACCACTTGGGCAATTTAAATGTTCACAGGTTCAGTACAGCGCATAATATTAATAATGCTGACGCAACTGTAATGTACCACTTTGCACGAATATAATAACGCATTCAAAAACTTTCGACGAAGCGTGCGGCTCTCAATTTATTGCGACAGAAGTTATTCCACACAATGACCGCACATCCGTGCAAAATTGCTGCGAATTCTGCGAGTTCTGGCACGAATGCAAGAACAACTACGCCTGTGGTAGAGACGACGAGAAAGGCATTATACGACAATGAAGAAACACTGGAGCGAAAACAATAGCAAGACTATGATGGGATGGCAAAGCTTCTTCGACTGATAAGAGACAGCTAGCAATGTGCACCCACTGCGGGAGCAACGGCTAGAAGGACTATTGTGCAGAAACGTTAGGCCTCGCTTCTCAAGACTGCTACAACGCTGAGGGCGTATACACAAGCACCTCCCGTTACCGCAGACCTCTGCAGTAGCCTCCGCAACTAATACGCAGGCCAGGCAAAGAAAAAAAAAGCCAGGGAGGTTCTCAAGCCGCCTTTAGGCAACGTTTCATATGGCATATCGGTCAATGAAGACAAACTATTATAATAAATAATTTAACTTTGATGCAAGTGATACACCAGCCCCTCACATGTCATTGTTTTCGTATGCGTCACTTGGAAAGTCACAGGAAAAAATTGCAGCGCCTAACGCCTCATCTGACCTGTACACGAAAAAAAAAAAAACAATAATCAGTTCCATCACAGCATGCAACTATTCGGCCAGTTTTCATTCAACAATTACGTTATGTGATTAACAAATCGTATGTTCAATGATGGTCACACTAAGAAATCTTCGACACTATAGTAACAAAATTTAGTAACGAAAAGTAATAATTTAGCAGGGCTTAGGAGCGGGCTAGCTGGAAGTCCGTGAGCAATGGATATAAGTGCGAAGCTGTAAGACCAGAACTTGTCCGTGTGAGCTCCCCGACTTGTTGTTGCGAGCTCGCACAACATATACTCTGCTCAGAGAAATATTCATAACGCAGTGTGTATGCGTCAAGAACTCCAAATCGTTCCTTACTACACACGAATAGAAATAAGGCTGGTAGAACGCGGTTACACGTAGGTGGGCTTTTGGTTCTATAGACATGGAAAAATTTCCCCCATCTATACAGTACGCGAGGTGAACACTGAGGCACGGGAATTTTTTAACCTTCCACACAGCAGCAAACCATGCAGAAAAAATTACTTTCGAGAGGGAGCGGCAAACTATGTGCTTTTGTTTTTTCGTCAATGCGCGACTGCTGCAAGACGATGGAGCCGAACGAGCAATTAAATCGCAGCTGTTTGCTATCAAGAAAAGAAATGGCCAGTTCTTTTGTTCCCGTAAACAATTGCCCAAGAAAATCTTGTCCAGTGTCGACAACGACTGCATATTACGACTGCCGCCGACGCTGCCGTTCTTTATTCTATACACCAGCTAGCTGATGGAGATGCTCGCGAAGTCACGCGATCAAGCTTTTGTTCCTTCCTACAGCGTGAAAGCTAAGTTGCAAATAAAAAAGAAAAGAAAAATCACGTACCTGTGTCGACGTATGCTACGCCTTGAATGGTCTGCGTGAAAGAGCCGACAGTGCTCGTGCTGTGCACCTGATGTGTACGCGAACACAAGGTATAGGAACATATCGTGGCATTTTCGAACCTATATAAATATAGGTACAGGTGCAGCAGTGGCTTACCCACATTGTAAGGCTAAGCGCGTCAGTAGAAAAATTCCTGAAATCAATGAATGAACCAATAAACTGATCGCTAATGAGTGGAACCTTATTTATCAGGTTAGGGGGTGTCCTGAAAGCAAAAAGAAATAAATAATGCGGAGACACGCGACGCGGCTGTAGATTGGCTCTCTAGTTAAGACCAGTTTCACTGCCAGGTTGAGTCTTCTGACGTGGCACAACAGAGCCAGTTCTAGGAGGTTGGGTATGCTTTTCGTTTCGGTCCAATGTTCCCAGGATTGGTTGAATTGAAACCTCATCAGCCGGAATAGCATCGTCAAGAAATGCACTCATGCATTTGCCTACAACGACTGGAAGGCGAAAGCCTCTTTCTTTTTCTTCAAAATCGAATGTAATGATTCTTTCCCCCCTCCCCAACCTTTCGAAAACTTTCTGCGCCTTAACGTCATTTTGAGCGGCCTCTGTGATCACAGTTATTGCAAGCTTTCTGCACCTCACAGAGTCTTGCAGTGCCTGTGGGTCCGGCCCACCTTCGACCAAACGACGATGTCATCCAATGACATAGTGTGATGTGCCGTTATGATGACGTCAAGATGACGTCACTCATTTTGGTGATTTGGGACGTGAAAAAGACGCCACGTGGAGACGTCATCTCATGATTATTTTTCGCACCATTCGCGTTGACACGGGCAGTCAATTTTCGCGTTTCATGAATAATCTAAGGCTTTTATCTTGAGAATAATTGCACTGCATAGGGTAATGAACTTGCAGAAGTTTTTTTCGTCATCTAGAAACGTGAAACAAGACCGCTTATAATGTAAGTTTTACAAAGCCTCTCGAATTGCCTGATTAAGCTGGCTTCGTAATAGTGTATTCCTTGTATTCCTTGGTTTGGCCTCTCGTGTACTTACCATTGAACAATACCGGAGAGTGTGGAGCCAACACACAGAAGATGGAACGCTATCGTAATTAGAGCGATGAACTTTGAGGGCTCTCCATAAACCTCGTATAGTAGCGCTGAAGGAGCAAAGAACGATGTAATAGTGGAGCAATGAAGGGTACTATAAAATAAAGTAGACCATGAAATGGCAGGGGAACGTGCCTCTTTATTTCGGGCAGCTTGTCAGAAAACAAATAGCATTCAAACTACCATGCTGCTACGCTACTCAACTACCCACTGCCTCTGAGGCATAGGGCCCTGCAGATAACAACCCAACATGAGGGCGAAGCTCTAGGCACCGCTGCCCGCTTGTTATTCCGAGGTTTCATTCATTTCATTTATTTATACTGTTAGCCCAGAAGTGGGCCGTTACAGGGTGGAAGTACAAACAATTATTTGCAAAAAAGAAGTACCGTACAGGTCTCGAGATAATTTCTCGGTATTATTGTGACCAGCAACTCGAAGTTATACATAACATACATAAATGGAACACACATGCGATGCAATACATACGCGCAGAACAGCATATGACGCATTTGAGGCGGCACTTTTGCACCGCGCTGAAGATTTGAAAGACAACTACTGCAGAATCATGCAGCCAACAAAAAGTACACACACACGCCAAAAAAAAAAAACATATGTCACTGTTATTCGGAAAATAAACGTTTTAGATTCTGTTCAAATGATGTAAGCGAGGAACAACCAATTATAGACTCTGGAAGCATATTCCAATCTTCAATAGCACGTGGAAAGTAACTGAACTTAAAGCAATCGTTACGTGGGACTAGGGGTGGTATATACATATTATGGCGATGTCTGGAGTGTTCTTGTGTGTTGACCTGGAAGTAATCTGAATAGTTTAGTTTAAAATGATTATGAATTAACTGGAAGAGGAATTTCAGACGCTCAATCCTCGTCCTAAGTTCAGGACTATCCAGTCCAGCTTTTTTACAGAGTTCAGTAGGAGAATGATGTCGGCGATATTTATTAAAAATAAATCTCGCACCAAGTCGCTGTATTTTTGTTATTTTATTGCAGTTTGTCTTTGTGTAAGGGTCCCAGACAATTTTAGAATATTCGATAATAGGTCTGACAAGAGTTTTGTAAGCAAGACACTTTATATCAGATGGGGCGGTATAAAGGTTACGTCTAAGGCCCCCCTCTTCGTGTGCTACTTAAGGTTTAAGTAGCACACGAATGAAAAACTGAGTAATACAGAAGTGAAGCCCAAGTTGTCGATTAAGAGAGAGTCGAGTGGTGATGTAAAATAAAGAAAACCAATAATGACTTTAAGTTAAATTATGAGGTTTGCATGACAAGAGTATGAAACGATTATGAGGCATGCTGTAGTGGGGGACTCCGGATTCACTAGGGGCAACTGAGGCTCGTTGACTGCAACAGAAATTGACAGCCTCCTTCAATTTATTGTTGCATAAGTACATTGCCACCCCGCCGCTGTATTATAGTGGCTGAGCTACTCGGCTGCAGACCCGCAGGTTGCGAGATTGAATCCCAGCTACGGCGGCTGCATTTTCCATGGAGGCGAAAATGCTGTAGGCCCATGTTCCCAGATCGGGGTGCACGTTGAAAAACCCCAAGTTGACGAAATTTCCAGAGCCCTTCACGTACTAAGGCATCTCTCATAATTATATGGTGGT